TAAGAACCTCACTTCTTCAGATGCAAGTAATGGAAATCTCCAGAGGCAGGTATAAATCAGTGTGGAGATAACACTGTTATCCCTGCCTCTGGAGATTTCCATTACTTGCATCTGAAGAAGTGAGGTTCTTACCCACGAAAGCTTATGCTCCCAATACTTCTGTTAGTCTCAAAGGTGCCACAGGACCTTCTGTTGCTTTTTACAGATTCAGACTAACACGGCTACCCCTCTGATACTTCCTTCCTTCAGTCTCTCTCTCTCTCTCAATCATTTCCTCTTTTTTCTTTCATTCATTCTTTCTCATAATCACTCTTCTGTTCTCTTTGGTTCCCTCTTTCACACACCCCTTCCTTCTGTCTCCCAGTCATCTCTTCTACTTCCTTCCTTCATTGATTCATGTGCTCCTTTAGTCTCATTCTTTTGTTCTGTCTCCCATTCATCCTCTCTCTCATTCATCTCCTCTCAAACTCACTCACTCATTCCATGTTCTCTCTTTCATTTGTAGGTTTGGGAGCATTACATTTTCCTTGGTCAACATTGGCCAAGGTCAACTTTGCCGTACACACACAAACGGACTTAAAAATATTTCCATTGATGATGATCAAATTTTACAAATAGGCAAAGTAAGAAAAATGCTTCCTGAGAATTGATTAGTTTGCTTTAAGGACATTTACTTTGCCTATATTGATTTGGGACGTTGGCAATTTGTTTTAGTGGTTAGCGAGCTCTGATCTTTTTGAATCTCAGTCTCTCCTGTCCTTAAATAATTAAAGTCTAAGCCCTGCTCAGAATTTCCTAGAACTGTGACAATTTGAAGAGGAAAAATTGGGGGAAAAACACTTAAAAATAACCATTCATATTATCCATTTAACTTACAGAAAAATGAAAATCGAATTCTGCCAAGCCTAGTTGTTTTCAACTCAGTTCCTACCACCTTGGCCTAGGGGAGAAGATGCCCCATGCCATTAGGTGGCAGTGTTGCATCACAGATTACGTGACCATAGATTAGAAGTTGGGGACCTAGGAAATTTGCCCGGATTATATGGTGGGCTGGCGTGGCTGTTCCCCTTGCCCTTCGCAAACAATGAGGTTCTTATGGGATGGGCCAGTCTGTTGGGGTGGGCGTGCATGGACAGACCCGCAAGGGACGGATAGACCCAGTCCCTGAGGGGTGGGGCTGTATCGGCCTCTGGAATTCGGGCAACTTACTGTGTCTCTGCCACGACACCACCTGTGAAGAGAAGGGGAAACAGCCATTAAACAGGAGCCTGCAGGGTGCAGTGGACTTTGGGGCCTCGGCTGAAAGCGAAGGTCTCAGGACGCTGTGCTCAGTGCGAGGAGTTTGAACGGGGAACCATTTTACAGCGACATAGGATATTGTGCACTGAGCCTGTGGGGGGAGAAACCCACCAATTGAAATGCAACATCGTATCCCACTGAAACCAGGGTATGGCAGTCAGAAATCCCCCTCTTAAACGGGAGGCCGGTGGTGTCCTGGAAGTGGGGGGGCTGTCCCCAGTAAGGGCAGGGCAGTCGTTACTCACATATATTTATCCCGGAGATCTCGGCCGACCTGCGAAGGCAGAATTGGAGGTTCAGTGGAGTGGTGGGAGGCTGCTGGGAGCCCCTTTCCTCGGCCCATACACCCCCCAATTCCCCACGGTGCTGCAAAGGATTCTGGGTCACCACTTTCTCTTCTCTCCTTCTTTCCTAGCCTATCGTCCTCTTTTTCTTCCTTCATCTCCTTCATTCTCTCTCCTTCCTCCCTCCCCCTTTTCCTCCTCTCCTCCTTTTTCTCTCTATTTATTCCCTTTCCTCCATTGATTTCTCCTGTCTTTGCCCCTTTCCATTCGCTCATTCCCAATGGTCACACTCCAATTCCCTCCTTCGTTCTCTTTTCCTTACCCCTGCCCCTGATTCCCCCAATCTCTCTCCCGTCCTGCCACTTTCTCTTCTCTCCTCCTTTCCTAGCCGATTGTCCTCCTCCATCTCCTTCATTCTCCCTCCCCCCCCCTTTTCCTCCTCTCTTCCCTTTTCTCTCTATTATTCTTTTCCTCCATCAATTTCTCCTGTCTTTGCCCCTTTCCCTTCGCTCGGTCCCTTTGGTCACAGTCCAGTTCCCTCTTTCGTTCTCTTTTCCTTTCCCTCCCCCCTGATTCCCCCAACCTCCCTCCTGTCCTGTGTACTATTTGACCCCTCTTCTGCCCCACCCTGGTCTCCCTGCCCCCCATCTTCTGCTGAGATCCACCCCGGTCTCCCCCACCCTCCAAACGATCCCTGCTCCCCCTGGTGTTCCCCACTGAGATCAGCCCCTGGGCACATGTAGCCATCCAATGCCCCCCATAGGCCCCAGCCCCCCCATATCATTCATGGCATCACAGCTGCAGAAATCCCCCCTTTATTTTCTGTGGGCCACATTCGCCTCCCATAGATTGACCCCCCGGCCACCTGAATCTACGGACCGGAGCCCCTATCACTTGAGCTTAACGCCCAGCCCCCATCCAGGCTGTGTGACCCGCTATGTGCTGGTGTCATCCCTAGAGGGTGTGAGCGAGCCAGGCTGGGGGGGCAACCCTAGAGCCAGTCCCCTGGGAGGGTGGGGCCAGGGAGAACAGACCCCACCCCCTTACATACCTTCTCATTATCCGTGACCGGTGCAGTTCCCCTCTCTTCCAGTAGGACCTGGAAGGGAATTGTTGGCAGGGGGCGGGGTGTCAATATGGGGCTCGGCCTGGCATGGGGGGACTGCTGGGATTAGCTGAGCCCAGAGGGTGGTGGCTGCAATTCCCAATGTGACCACCAGGGGGCTGCGAGGTGCAGGAGGAGAGAATGGGGGGAATCAGAGAATTTTGCCCTACCGGTGTGGGGGAGGGGGGCAGGTCGGGAGCCAGGACTCCTGGGTTCTATCCCCATGGGATGGAGGGACCTGTTGGAACAGATTTGCCCTCCCAGGGACAAATGGCTCCCAGCCCATGGCGGGGCCTGGGGACCCAGAGGAACTTACATGGAGAGCCGGCGGCTAGCTGGGGAAGGAAGGGAAAGAGATTGAATTAAAGTGAGATTCCACAGAGTCTCTTTTCCCCGTCTCTCCCCAGCTGCAGTGCCCCCTAAGGGGGAGCACTCTGCCATCCCGGATGCCTGGGTCCCTTCCCTCCTCCCAGTTTGTCCGGCCCCGGGTCTGGGACCTGAACGGCTCCCCCAGGGGTGAGGTGACTGTGCTGCTTCTTGGATGCCTGGGTCCCATCCCCCATCCTGCCCCCCACCCAAAGTTGGCTGGGTCTCAGCCCCATATTTGTAGTCCCTTCCCCCCAAAGCCAAATCACTCACAATCCTTTGTATCAGGAGTCTGCTGTGCCAAGTTACCCACAGTCCTTTGCACCAGAGTCCTGTGGTACCCAACTACCCATGATCCCTTGCATGGTGGTCCTGCTCTAGCCAGATACCCACAGTCCTTTGCAACTGGCTCTTGCTATCCCATGTCACTCCTTGTGGGGGCTGAGAGCGCTGAAGGCGCCCCCTAGGTGTGAACACTGCTGTTCCTGACGCCTGGGTCCCATTCCCCACAGGCACTGAGCTCTGCAGTGCCCCCTAGTGGTGAATGCCCTGTGCTGCCGTCCCGGACGCCTGGGTCCCATCCCCCATCCTACGCCTCACGCACCTGCCGTCTTCTTCCTGCAGAGGGGGATGAGCAGCAGCAGCAGCAGAGCCAGAGCCGTGGCAGCCCCACCGCACCCAGCCACCAGGGGGATGGGCAGAGACCAGGCTGGTAAAAGGAGGGGATGAGTTAACAGCCGGGAACAAGGGAGGGGGCAGCGTCTGGGGACCCACTATCTGCTCCAGACCCCATCCAGGGCAGGGGACAATCTGGGCCCTCCCCTTTAAGGAGGGATTTTTTGCCTGCCAGATGCTCTTGGTACTGCCCATGATGAAATGCTGCCACCTGGTGTCAGGCTCAGGTACTGCACCCTCAGGGCCATGTGTTGTTCTCGCCCCCCCCCAAACATGTGCTGTGTCTTGGCTCCAGCGTCTCCCCCAGGGGTAGCAGGTGTTGGGGTGCTGGGGTTATTGTGGGGTGCAATTACAGGCCTCACCTGTCACGGTGATGTTCACAGCCTGGCTCTTGGGGGATGGGATCCATCTCCTGCCCATGTTCGCCTCGTACCCGCATCTGAATTGCCCGGTGTTGCTGGGACCAGCTTGCAGGATGCTGAGCACAGAGACTGTCATAGAGCTGGTGCTGGGCTCTGTGGTGCTGATCTCAGACCCTGTGTCCCCAGGGACGATCTCAGCTCCGTCCTTGTAGAAGTGAAACCTCTTCTCTCTGGTGTCCCCAGGGGCCATGCAGGTGATGAGCAGGGGGAGCCCTTCACTCACCACTCCGGACGGGGGATCCACACTCAGTACTGGCTGGGGAGGGGGATCTGAGGGGAGCAGGACAGGGGAGAGGTCAACAGAGAAACCACAGTACTGAGTGTGGAAAAAAGGCGGCTATACTGTATAATGGGCACTAGAGGGCAGCAGAGGATCAGGGGTGGGGAAGGGGCGGCTGTACTGTATAATGGGCACTAAGGCAGCGGGTGGTGGGGGAGTGCTGTCTATAATGTAGAATGGGGGCTGTGGGTGTCTGTACTTGTGATGTTCATTGGCACCGGCTCGCTGGGGGGTGAGCGGAGGTGGCGCCCATGGAGCTCTGTGTTGTACCCACACCGGTAGGTCCCGCTGTCGCTGGGGGTGATGTTCAGGGGGAGCTGGGGCCCCGGCGGCTCTGGAAGCAGTTCCCCGTCTCTCAGCACTCAGTGGTGCTCATCCCCTTTGTTCTCTTGCCTACTCAGCTGGCAATTGGGGTGAACCAGCCCAGCTCCCCCAGTCCCCTCTGGTGGGACTCGCTCTCCGTGCCCCTGGGCGCCCCACCAGCCCTTCCGTGTCCCTGCTCCAGCTGGGATCTGGCATCTCCCAACTCGGGTGCCCAGAACTGGAGTCAGGCTCCCAGCTAAGCTTGGCCAGCCCCTGGGAGCCCAATGGGGTCACCTTCCCCCTCGGACCTGGCTCCGTGGAGCTCAGCTGGGGAACTGTTCACCCCAGCCTCTTTGGGGTTCAGTGTGCAGGGGGACAGGGGGATCGGGTGCAGGGGAACTAGGGACGGGGTGCAGGGATGCAGGGGGCACAGGGCAACAGGTGCAGGGATGCAGGGGGATTGAGTGCAGGGGTGACTGGAGTTGGGGTGTAGGGGCACGGGGGGATGAGGTGCAGGGGTGATGGTGTGCGGGGGACAAGGGGACAGGGTGCAGGAGCAACAGGGGACAGGGTGCAGGGTTGCTGAGGTATGGGTCTCAGGGTCATGGGGTGCAGGGGAGCCAGGGGATAGGGTGCAAGGATGCACTGGATGCAGGGCAACAGGGTCCAAGGGTGATGGAGTGCAGGGGTGACAGGAGTTGGGGTGTGGGGGGAAGGGGATGGGGTTTAGGGGCGAACGGGCATTGGGGTATGGGAGATAGAGGGACAGGGCACGGGGGACATGGCGCAGAGTGACAGGATGCAGGGGTACAGGGTGATGGGAGACAGGGGGACAGGGTGCGGGGGTGCAGAGGTGACTGGAGTTGGGGTGTGGGGGCAGAGGAGGATGGGGTACAGGGGTGATGGGGTGCAGACATATGGGGTATGGGTCAGAAGGGAACGGGGTGCAGGGGAGCCAGGGGAGATGGTGCAGGGCAACAGGGTATGGGGCAACATCCCAGGAGTTGGGATGCAGGGGAAGGGGGATGGGGGGCAGAGGCGATGGGAGTTGGGGTGCAGGGGAGACAGGAGTTAGGGTGTGGGAGATGGGGGTACAGGATGCGGGGACATGGTGCAGGGGCACGGGGGGACAAGGATGGGGCGCAGGGGGCTGGGATGCAGGAGCGCAGGGGGATGGGGTTCAGGGGCACAGGGGCACAGTGCGCAGAGGGATGGGCTGCAGGGGTGCAGGCGGGTGAGGTGGAGGTCGACAGGGTGTCGGGGCACAGAGGGATGGGGTGCAGGGGGATGGGGTGCAGGGTCGCAGGAGGATGGAGTGCAGGGGCGCAAGGGTATGTGGTGCAGGGGGACGGGGTGCAAGGGCACAGGGGGATGGGGTGCAAGGGCACAGGGGGAGGGGTGTCAGAGACCAGACTGAGCTCACCTGTCATGGACACGGAGACAGGCTGGCTCTCCCCAGATGGCACCTCTCGCCCGGTGCTCAGTGTCCAGTACATACAGACATACAGCCCGGCCGTCCCCGTCTCAGTCCTGAGCTCCAGCTGGGCTCAGGGACCCTGTCAGCGATCAGCCCCCCAGGCTACCTGTAGAATCTGTACCTGGCCACCCCCTTGCCCCATGGCGCTGAGCACCTGAGGGTCACCCGCTCCCCTGGGACGTACACAGGGCACTGCGGCCTGGATGGACGGAACCCGGGCCAGCAGCGGGCTGAGCGGGGTCGGCGGCAGGACCTCAGACCAGCAGTGGGATGAGCCACTCAGCCCGCTGCTGGTCTGGGGTCCCAGCTGCCGGCCCCTTGCCAGCCAGGGTCCGCGCCTCTGGCCCCGCTCAGCCCACTGCCAGCCTGGATGGACGGAATCCAGGCCGGGAGCGGGCTGAGTGGGGCCAGCGGACGGGACCCTGGCTGGCAGGAGCCGGTGGATGGAACCCCAGACTGGCAGCGGGATAGGCCTGGGGGGCTGAGCAGGGCCAGTGGCTGGGACCCTGGCTGGCAGCGGGCTGAGCGGGGCCTGCGGACGGGACCCTGGCTGAGCGCTGCCGCTCTGGGGTTCCGTCTGCCGCCCGCGCTGCGGGTCTGGCACACAAAACCTTTTACTGGCATGCGAAACGTTTTACTGGCATGCGAAACCTTAAATGACTGAAGACTTGGCACACCACTTCCCAAAGGTTGCCGACCCCTGTGCTAGAAATTAGTGGGGCCGGTGAGTTTGTATGTCCAGCTCAGCTAAAATGTCACATCCCCTGGCTTAACCCACTAGCCCCCACTCCTCTCCCAGAGCCGGGGATAGAATCCAGGAGTCCTGGCTCCCCACCCCTCACCACTAACCCCCACTCCCCTCCCAGAACAGGGGATAGACCTCAGGGGTCCTGGATCCCAGGTCCCTCAGCTCTAACCACTAGACACCACTCCCCTACTAGAGCCAGGGATAGAGCCCAGGAGTTGTGGCTCCCAGCGCCCCCCCACTTCTCCCCTTGCCTGGGGCCCTGAGAGCGAAGCCGAGCAGGTGGGGGCGTCTGGCCCCAGTATGTCCCGGTGGCTGCTGGGGGAGAATTACCCGGTGCCCCCCCTGGCCAGGCTAGTGAGACTCACCGATCACAGCGATGGGCACGGGGGGCCTCTCCCAGGAGGGGATCTCCCGGCCGGCTCGCAGGACCCAATAGGCACAGCTGTATTCACTGGGATCTCCCAGCTCCACTGTGAGCATCTCCAAGGGCCCCATGGCCCCAGCAGGCAGCTCCTCGGGGGCCTGGCTTCGGTGTCTCTTGTAGAACCTGTATCCAGCCACCTCCTGGCCCCTGGGAGCCGAACACTTCAGGGTCACCCGCTCTCCCCGCACATACACAGGGTGCTGAGGGCTCAGAGAGAGCACAGGGGCCGGCAGGGGCTCTGGAGCAAACAGGGAGAGGAATCAGTGACCGGGGCCCTGCCCTCAGCTCCAGCTGATCCCGTGAACACCCAACCCACCCACTTCTGGTTCCTTTTCTCCCACTGCCGGATACTTCCCTCCCCCTTGTCTCTCTCCCTGAGAAGCCAGGGGAAAGCGCCGCCCAGGAGCTCAAGGGGCAGGGATGTAATTCAAGCCTCAGGATCCCTATGGGAGGTGGGTCAAGGCGGTTACATCCTCGTTTCACAAAAGGGGAAACTGAGGCACAGAGCACGACTGCTAATA